AGAGGAAGTGCAACTCTACACCTGTGAGCTTCGGGGAATAGGGGATGCTGGGTGTCTGGGAACCACAGAGTGGCCCCACTCTGCCTGGCACTGAGGTCCTGGAGCGTGACTGCCTCAAACTTCAGGTCCAGACCTGGCACCTCAGTGCTATCATGTCCGCCTTGAGGGGTTGCCTGGCTTGACTCTCCAAGTTAAGACAATGCTATGTCTCTCCCATCACACCCTGGCATACTTAAAACTAGGGCCACGTCTCCACCCTCAGACTGGAGGGCTCCCCGAGTCCAACAAGTGTGCCTCCCATCCCTGAGAGCCAGGACAGAGCCTCCTCCTCCCTCCTCTCTCCCACAATGCCCAGGCTGGAGCCAACCACCAACCACAGTGCAGGGGAGGGGCCTTTGCTGTAGATGCTGAGGTCTGTCCTCTCAAATGAGACCGGATGAGCCAAAACACCTTCCCGGCCCCTGGAACTTGGTCACTGGAATCCCCATTCCTCTGGTCTGTCAGTCCCTGCTGGGCCCTGGTGGGGTTGAATCTCAGCTTCACCATTTACCAGCTGTGTGACCTTGGATATGTGACTTCACCTCTCTGAACCTCAGTCCCTCACCTTCAGCACCTACTGCATAGGGTCACTGCACGCATGGAATTACTTAAGCCTCTACTACAGCAGCCGTTCCCGGGGGGTACTGTTCCGTGTGTCTTTTATATTCTCTGAGCCAGAAGGCTTGCCAGGGTCTGTTCTTTTGTCAGCACAATAGAGCATGGCCAAGGGCACAGACACACTCAGGTCTCTCCTTGTGATATATATGCTAATAATCCATTGGCCAAAAGCAAGTCACATGGCCAAGGCCAAGCATCAGTGGAGTAGAGAAGTACGTTCCTCCTCTGGAGGGGTGTGTGTGTGTTTGTGTGTGTTGAGGGGAGCGATTGCGTCATCAAAGCTACCACACATCCCATAATCAGTCTGGGGTCTCACCCCCACCTGCTCGGTAGCCTTGGGTCCAGAGCTCTCTGGCTGGACTTTTCCTGCCCGGGTTAGGGAGGGATAGTGCTGGCTGCGTAGCGCAGAGAGGAAGACCCAGGGTCTCACTGCTTCTTAAACAACCCCGTTTTCAGCCTCCTGCCCCACCATCTGTGGTGTCTGGGTCCCTTACTTGGAAGCCTCCCCGGGGTTCTGCAAGGCCAGTTTTCCATCCAGCCCCGGAGCAGCAGGCAGTTCGATTTGCCTTTCTGGGGCTCTGTTAAATCATTTACCACCCCTCCATCTGTTCCCCTGCACAGGCGCTGTGGTTTGGGGTCACAGATGTCTCCTGGTTTCTTTGAAGATGAGCGTTTGTGTTTCTGTTTCGTGTTCTCCTTATTGTCACGGCTGCTTTTCAGCAAGGTGGGGGGAGCTGAAACTTCTCTATCTCGGCACCTTGAGAGTAGAGTCTCTTCCTCTCTGTGTTGAACACACTTCTGCAGTATGTGGATCAAAGCACACGGCGGGTGTTGATTTACACGTCTGCCTCTCACTGGCTTCTGAGCCCCTGGGGAGCACACGGCTGGGTCTCAACCCTCTCTCCACCTCCAGCCCCCCGCACAGTTGGCACAGAGCACATGGTTAGCACATGCAGACAGACTTGAGCTGAACTTCAGATGACACAGATGGCTGCTCATGATTTCACTTTCCTCGAGGCCCTCAGAAGTCTCCTAGAACCTTCCTAGATCTCTCTCTCCCTCCATGGAGCCTACCCTGCCTTACCTCTCAGATCCCATGAAGCCTGGCTGGAGTTAAATGTCCCCGGAGGTGAACATTTCTTGGGCAATGGGAGAGTAAAGAGGGTAAGGAAGAGAGGTCAAAGATCCAAGGAAAAGACAGAAGGCACTTGGGCCCCAAGCAGTCGGAAAAAAATTGTTGGAAAAAATTGAAAATCATTTCAATATACTATTTTATCATCTCTCATGATTCTGTGGATGGTTGGGCTCAGCTGCGTGGCTCTTCTGCTCCATGTGATGTTGCCTGGGGCTGCAGTCATCAGGGGACTCGACCAGGACAGCATATCCCAGACGGCTTACGCCCATGACTAGTACCTTGGTGAGCATGGCTGGAAGGCTGGTCTCAGCAGAGTCACTAGAAGGTTGGGTCTCTCTCTCTCTCCATGAAAGTTTATTCTTTCATTTGCTTATTCATTTACATAAACAACAAACATTTATCCAGCAGCTACCAGGTACTAGCTAGGGTCGTGGTGAGCCATCCACGCAGAAGGGACATTTCCCTGGGCTCTCTGAAGACTCAGCAGCTCTCAATGGGACTGTGAGCTCCTAAGAGAAGACCTACGCTTGACCCACTCTCAAGCCCTGTGTTTGGCACACGGTCTCAATAACTATTTGCTGAGTGATTGCGTGCTTGAATGACCCAATACTCTTGAAGCATTTCTGAAGGCCGAGTAGCACAATTATGTTTGTAAATGAGGACGATCCCCCAGGCTGCCCGGTGGAGGAAGGGAGGCCAGTGAGGAGGCTATAAGTACTGTCGAGAGAAGAGAAGCAAGGCCTGGCCCATGCTTTCTGGCCTCCAGGCGATGACTGCCTGGCAAAGGGCCAAGTCTGATGCATTGGACTGGGCAGGTGGGTACTTGGGAGTGGTAGCTGTCAAATGAGTGAGCATCACCATATTGTCTGCTCCTGCCCACAATCAACAGTTCTTCCTGTTTCAAAACAGGTTACTCTTTCCTATTGTAAGGGCCTCTGGTCCTCAGCCTATTTGCAGAGCAGAAATAAGTGACTTACCCCATGTCCAGTGACTGCTGGGAACCATGATACGTTGGAAAGAGTACAGAGCTACAAGTCCTAAGACCTCAGTTACAAATGCCATCACCCAGCAGTAACAGAAGGCCTGACCCACAGTAAGTAAACAAATAGGTGGTTTCGTTTTCATCCTGCTCCCATAATAAGACGGCCGGTGGCATTGGTTCAGCTGTTCACCAAAGCTGTCAAAGACCCAGGTTCTTTTTCTCTCTCTGCTCCTCTGTTCTCAGCATGTTAGCATATATCTTCGCGTTTGTGGTTTCAAGTTTACGAGATGGCTGCTGCAGCTCCAGACCTCTCATTAGTATTCAAGGCAGGGGAGGTGACAGGACAAAGGGCAGTCTATCATTGTTTATGGAGGAAAACAAAAACTTTCACAGATGCCACCTCTTCAGGACCTTGACTTATGTCTTGTTGGCCAGAACTGTGCAATGTCGGAATACCAGCTACAAAGCAGGCTAAGAAAACAAGTATTTTTGTCTGGGGCTAGATGCATTGCTGCTTTGCATGAAACTAGGAGTCTGTTAGCAAGGAGGATGGGTGTAGTGGTCAAAGGTGAAAAAGCAGAGTGTTTGCTTTCATGGCCTGAGCTCTAACTCCTATGCCCTCCTGTGCCTTCATTTCCTCCTTTGCAAAAAAAGAGCCTCTAGTACCTACCTTGGAAGGCTACTAGAATTACATGAGATAATATGTGCTAGGTGAGACCCCGCAATGGTGAGAGAATTTACTGACTGATGTTATTATTGGAATAAAACAAGGACTGCGTCTGCTGGGTCAGGCTCAGGGGAAGAAGCCCACCCATGGCGTGCAGGAAAGGTTGGAGGAGCAGAGGAAATTATTAGAGGCAAGGGATCCAGATCAGCTGTTCAAAGGCCTCGGAGTGAAAGAAGCGTGAACGTGGCTTTGAGGAAATGAGAGTTCAGTCTGACAGTGGAGGTGGGAGGGAGGGAGGAGGGAGGGAGGGAGGAGAGAGGGAGGCTCTGGCCCCCGAAGGGGGCACCTCAGGGCTTTCGAACATTGCGTGGATTGGGTGTGGGCTCTGCCCCACCATATCTGTGTCTGTGTCATGTGTCATAGTTTCAACGTGGGGTTTTTTGTTCGTCTGTTTCATACGAGAAGTAACTTGAGAAACATAACAAACTTGCCTGAGCTGAAAGTAATCAAGGCTGTGGGGTTTCCCCCCACCAGCACCCAGTTCCTTTCAAAAGAGTGAGCCTCCCAGGAGGCCAGAGAGCTGGGGGTCTTGCCTCGGAACTTTAGGTTTTTGGGGGCTGAAGGGGTGGCCGGGAGCTCTGGGAGAGAAGAAAATAGAAACCTATTAGCATTTCAGCCGCTGAGAATTGGGGGTCTCCTGAGCTGTCGGGAACAGGATCTTACATCTTTCTTTTATTCCTTTGTCTTAGCCTCTCTAGAGTGTCAGCCCACTAGGTCAGGAACTTGTGTGTACCACTGAATCCCTGCCCCTGGATGTCCCCAACCACCATCAACCTAGAACAGTGCCTGGCACAGAGTGGGCGCTCAATAACTGTGTGTTGCATGAACGGATGAAGTTTAGACAGAGACATGTAATTGCCCTCAGGAGCAGAAAGTCTGGCGTTTGTAAATTGACAGACACTAAGGTGACCAACTCCATACCAGGCACAGCTGTGCTTCATGGATGCATTTCTTAAACCTTTGTAACAGCCTTATCTCTCTTTTAAAGAAACCCGCCTTCGCTTAGTGCCTGCCGGGCCTGTCATTGCTCCCTTACACTGCTGGGGACGCTTTCCTGTGACCCCCAGTAGTAGAAGTGGGGGATTTCTGGCTGCCCGACACCCATATTCCTTCATTCCAGCAAGACTCCGAGTCTCCATTTGGGGACCAACCCCTCCACCCTGTTGTGTGTGATTTGACAGGGTTGCCTCCATTCTTTGCTGTAGCTGGAAAGTGGCCCATCAGGGAACAGAATCTCCCTGCCAAATATGATTGGTTAGAAGGGAGCCCGAGACCTAAGCTAGTCCAATCAGAGTAAACCTTAATTAGAACTTTGCCTAGGGCAAACACTTGGTCTTTTTGCTGAACTTGAACCTGGAAGGATGAAACCCTGAGAGTCACCTTCCTGAGAACAAACAGACAGAAGAAAGCAGAACAAAGCGATACTGAAAAGTCAGCCCTGACGATGTCATTTGCGTCCCCTTGATCATGCTGCACCTGAAGTCATGATATTTCCAAACTTGAATCAATAAATTTATTTTCTGCTTAAGCAGGTTGAATCGGGTTTTCTATGTGCGACAGCAAAAGTCTTGACTGGCAGGGTCTGAAAGTTTAAGACTCTCACAGTAAATGCAGCTCGGGATCATGTGAGTGTAGAAGAAAGACCTGGGAGGTGGCAGGAATCCGCCAGACCCAGGCTTTTAATCGGCTGGGCAGATGCCCACAGAGATTTACAAAATCTGGTTTGTTTTATGTCGTCCTAAAAGGAGAACTAAGACCAGAGGGACAAACTTCCAAGACCCTCATTTTAGCTCAGCAGGAGGAGAACTTTCAGACAAGCTAGAATCATCAGTATTGGAGTAGATTGCCTCGGGAGGGAGTGAGAGACCTGTTTCTGAGGGTACGCAAGTGGTGGCCGGCAACCATCTGGCCCAAAGTTTCTAGAGGGGATTCAGACATCCAGTGGGACTGGAGGACATGGGTAGGTGCTACTGCAGGTGGCAGCTGGCACTGACCGCAGTAACGCAGGGGCGGCTTATCGGGTTCCGGGGCTCCCCTCTGGCCCCTTGGAAGGCAGGAGCATGAGGGGATCAGGATGCAGCACCTACAGATTCACACCTTCGGGCCCAAGGGGGCCTCCAGCACAGAGAAGATGATCGACCAAGCTCTACAGCCGTCTGCTAAGAAACACCACAGGGAGAGGACAGCATGGCCAGCCGGGGAGCCATCGGGCTTTAGGAGGGTCAAAGCCATCTGGCTGGGAGAACTGGGTGCAACCTGGAAGGGAGACAGGCAGGAGGTGAGAATTTAGGGAAAACCAGATCTGCACCCGCTCACCGATTTCCTGGCTCACAGCTCGCCCCTCCCATCGGGACTGCCCTCCCCGCCAGTCTCGCCACACTGAGCTCTCTCCATCCTTCTCCCACCCCTGCATGTGGGTGTCAGATCTCCCCAGCTTGACTGAGCTCTGCTGGGGGTGGGGGCAGAGGCATTCTTAATATCCCGTATCCTCCCAGCCCTCCTGCAGAAAGAGCAGAGGGGAAGTGCGGTGACTGTCACTCCTTGGCTCAGGTCACCTGGCATTTTCTCATACCTTGCACCTTCCTTCTGGGAACTGGGCTCACTGAGCTGGACCGGCTCAGGCAAATGGGGAAACCGAGGCCACTTTGCTTCTCCCTCCCTCTCCCGGCCTAAATGCCACTCCCAGTGAAACCGAAGGCCACTGAGCAGTGGATGGATGCCGCCTCCCAGCTGGAACCTGCTGTGTGGTGGGCATGGGGTGCTTGCAGCATGGGGGGGAGGCTCTCACCGCTAGAGGAGGCTGCAGGGGCGCTTCTGCGGCCGCGTGGGCTGGGGGCACAGGACGGCCCGGATCGCCTCATCGAAGACGGTCTTGAGGCCTCGCTGGGTGAGGGCAGAGCACTCCAGGTATTTCACCGAGTCTGGGTGAGGCAGCAAGAAGGCAGAGGCCTAGGTCAGGGCAGAGTCCTGGGCAAAACCCCCTCCCAAGCCACACAACCGCACCAGGCTGTGGGGGCCACCTGGGCTGTGTCAGTCAGAGCAGGAAATTTTCCTGTCTGTGCCTCAGTTTCCTCGTGTCTGAAACGGGGATATTAAATTCAGTGGGAGGGGTTAAGGCCCACAAGAGCCGGTCTGTGTCTTTCTTGGGCGCATAAGCCCTTAATTTGCAGAAGGCGGGCAGGACTGGGGAAGAAAAGGGCTCAAGCTAGTGACTGAATCTCCCCATTCCTCAGTTTCTTCTGGAAGATAGCAACACACCTGCCTCCACGCTTTCTCTAGGAGGCCTGAAGCACTCATGGCCCACCCACTAGGGCCTTCCATGTGTCGTCTGACCATTCCTTAGCACCACCTCATTTTACAGATGAAGAAACTGAAGCTCGAGAGGTACAGTCACTTCTCCAAGGTCACATGCTGGACATTTCTCCTCCACCTCTGGGCAGCCGGGGCCCCTCAGCAGGAGGCGTGAGACTTGGAAGGCTCCTCCCTCCCTCAGAAGGAGCCGGGCCTCCTCCCACGTGACCACTCAGGGCGGGAGCCCAGGGCACAGACGACAACAAGGACAGACTGAGTCCCCACCCCCACAGCCAGAGTTCCATGACCTTCTAGAAGGAACCTGTGTGAGCTCCACGTCCACTACAACCCAAATGGTTTTCCTGAAGTGAGGAACCACAAACCCCTTCTTCAAGAGGCCTGGGGGCCAATTTCAGAAAGAAGAGGAAAGAGGGGGACAGGAAGGGGGAACTTGGCCTCCTCGAGGGGGAGCCCAGTCTTCTGGGGAGAAGGAAGGACACAGACGCTGTTGGGCACCTGCACCCTGCCAGCACGCTTTTGAAAACCCCGTGAGGACACATGTGATTCCCCGCTTCTCAAGTGAGGAGACAGGCCCAGAGAGGAGAAGCCAGGGGCCCAGAGACACGCAGCGGAGGGGCAGGAAGCCAGGATGTCGGGAGAGGCAGCCCCGGGAAAGGGGAAGCCCACCAACGCCAGGGCTGGGGAGAAAGAGAGGGAGGAGCAGGGATGGGGAAACCGAGGCTCAGAGAGAATATCGCTTATCGAAAGTCACACACTAGACGCTCCCTCCACGTGGCAGCACACCGGGGAGCCTGGCAGCGGCCCCAGGGCCTGGCTGCTAGCAAAGGAGCACCTAGTCCAGGAGTCTGGTCACCGTAACCCTGTGTGCCCAGAAGGGTGTCGCTGGGCATTTGGCCACAGGACCGTAGCCTGTGACCACCTCATTCGCACCCACCAGCTGTCTCCCTGGCACCTGCCACCCTCTTGCTCCTCTTGGCTCAGTGGTGTCCAGAGCAAGGGTCCTGAGCGGGGGGTCCTGGGCTCAGTTCAGCTCTGCCCCTGACCAGTCTAGGACTTCGGCCAGTTTCCCTCTCTACACCTCAGTCTCCTACCTGTCCAGGACATGGTGACGTGTGACGGCTTATCAAGCCGAGGCAGGGGGCAGGGGAGCTGCAGAGAGGGCATGGGGCCAGGCCAGAGGGCAGCAGATGACCCTGATCTTCATGACTGAGGAAGCCAGGCATCCAAGGCTCAAATCAGCTCTGCCACATCCTGGCTGGGTGACCTTGAGCCAGTGACTTTTCTCCCTGAGCCTCAGTTTCCTCCTCTGTAAAATGGGGGTAATGAGAGCCCCTCCTTCATAGCTACTCTGAGAATGAAGCGGGAAAATGCATGCGCCCAGCACCCAGGAAGTGCTCAATCCATGTCAGCTGTGATTATCAGCTGGGGTCAGAGCTGCCTCTACAACTCATCACCCCAGGGCTAGGGCGCAGCCCAGGTGGGCAGAGGCAGCTGTCGTCCTCTCCATCAGCTCTTCCGGTCCTCTCGGCCGGGGCTGATCCAAAACAAGTTCAAAGTCCCTGTCCCCCGCCCCCTGCCTGGGATCAGCTCCAGGAGGGATTGGCTAGAGGCCAAGACAGGACCCCCAAGTCATTTCCTTATGGAGGAGAAAGGATGTTTAAGGGCTGTGCAGGCTTGTTCATGCAGACGGGGAGGCCAAGGCCCAGAGAGGAGCCACTGGCTCAAGGTCACGCAAATAGTGCCAGAGCCAGGACCAGAATCTAGACTTTCAGACCCCTTCTTATCCCAAAGCACGTGCTTTAAAAGCGAAAGGGTCGGCTGTAGGCTGGAGAGTCAGTCTTGGCTGGGAAGAGTCCAGGGGGACAGGCTGGTCAGAAAGAAGAGAAGGCAGGGGTCTAATCCCCAATATTTGTGAGGAAAGACCAGTGGGCCGGGGAGCCAGAGACCCCAGGACGGGGCATGGGACACACGGTTTAAGCAGCAGCCCGAGGCCCCCTGGGGAAGATGGCCATGTCATCGGGCTAGTCATGGAAAGGGGGAGGTGGCAGCTGCGGTTTCTCTTCCTGTGAAGAGATGTGAGTCGCCAGGGCCCTCCCAGTTCCTGCGGAAGGTTGGGCTGAGGCAGGCACAGTGTGGGGAGGCCCGACTGATTCGGGGGCCAAACCCTGAGCCGACAATACCCTGGGGTGAGGCAGAGAGTCCTGGGCAGCTGGGCCACTGCTCAAAGTGGCCAAAGCTGCTGGTGGTCCTGGGCTCCTGAGCAAGCGCGCCTCCCCAGGCTGCAGGCAGGTCGGGCCTGGCCAGGGACGGCAGGTCCTGACACCGTGGGAGAAGCCAGGCCCATCGGTCATCGCCTCCCTTGCTCAGGCAGGCCTGAGTCACCACGGGGAGGCCGCCAGCTTTGTCCAGATCCCAGTTCTTCCACCTACGAGCTGTGTGACCTTGAAAAGTCACTTGACTTCTCTGGCGCAGTGATCAAGAGGCAAATAAGAGCTGGGCTAAGAAGCCTTGGGCGTGGGGAGAGGGCGGTTAAGAGACAGAAGGGAAGGCCTCACCCTTCAAACCCAAGGCAAACGCGTCTCCTCCAGGAAGCCTTCCTTGAAACCCCAAACTTGGCTGCTCATCCTCCAAGCAACCACAGCACACCCCACTCTGCCCCTGCTTCTGTCTGTGCAAAACACACTCTATTTCAAGATCTGATTATGGGTTATACTACTACCGGTAATGACTAACACAGACTGCTCCTCACGTACGGGTGCTGCTCTAGGAACTTCATGCGTATTAATTCGTTTAATTCTCTCAACTGCCCAGAACTATTCCTACTGCCAGGTTTTACTGATGAAGAAACATAGGCACAGAGAGGCTAAGTGATTGGTGCAGGGTCACGCAGCTAGCACACGGCACAGAGCAGATCCGAACCGCAGAGCCTGGCCCCAGAGCCCATGTTTGCAATCACCACGAGGCTGAGTCGGGCTCCCCCTGCATCCAGCTCCCCTCCCCGTGCCCCAGGCCCGTACCAATCTCCTTGGCCAGTGCCAGGCCCTGTGGGTAGGTAATAGGTGCCAGCTTCTTCTCCTTCAGCTTCTCGATGGTGTCCTTGTCGTCCCGCAGGTCTAGCTTGGTGCCCACCAGGATGATGGGTGTGCTGGGGCAGTGGTGCCGCACCTCGGGGAACCACTGGGCAGGCGGATGGGATGGGGCGAGAGGTCGTGCAGGGACGAGAGGGGACATGAGTTTGGGCAGGGAGCAGAGGGGGCATGGGGGTGGGGGAGGAGACGGGCACCAAGTTGTGAGAAGGTGAGAGGTGGGCATGAGGGTGTGTGGGGAGGAGAGAGGACAAGGTCCCAGAGGCCAGAGGGTGAAGCTGACACTCCCAGCCCCCTCTGGGACCCCCTCCGAGTCTCACTCCCTGAGTCCCCCTGGGCCTGGTCGTCACTGGGGACCGTCTCTGCCCCAGGGAGAGGTTCCAAGCTGCCGGTCCCTCCTTCCTTCCTCCCCCTTCCCAGGGTCACCTGTCCCCAGGCCCGCCCCAGGCCCTGCTCTGCCCAGCTCACCTTGGCACGGACGTTCTCATAGGAAGCTGGGCTGACGAGAGAGAAGCAGATGAGGAAGACATCCTGGGGACAGAGTAGGCGATGGTCACCCGTGAGGGGAAGCCCAAGGGTGGCCACCTGGGCCCTTCCCACACCTGGCAGCACTGAGCAGTGGGGCGGCCCAGGGGACGCTGAGCATTTAGGGTCTGGCAGGGCGGGGATGCCTGTCTGTCCCTGCCACCAGGCTGCTCTTTGTTTACCCAGCATTTCCCAGGAGCCAGGATGTCCTTAGCGGTTCATCCTCACACAGCACCCTACAACAGTGCTGCTGCGCCCCGATTCTACATATGGGGAGAGGGAGGCTACAAAGGTTCACGGGTCTGCTGTCTGGAGCTCCGAAATCTATACTCTTAATCAAGCACTCACCACTCCAACATCTGGTTGCCAGCGCCAGCCCCGGAGGGAGAGTCAAGGACACGAGAGGTGCCCAGCAGCCACGGAGCCACCTGCAGGCTCGCCCCCTCTCCTCTCCCCTCACCCAGCACACCTGCGCTTCACTGACCTGGGCTTCCCACGAAGGCTCCTGCCCCGCCCACAGAGCCAGGTGGTGCCAGAGCGTATGAAGTTGCGGGGGCAAAGAGGGGCTGGGAAGACAGGCAGAGTGGTAACTGGGGACCGATGGAGGGCTGGGGGCAGGGGGAGGGGTCCCTGGCTGTGCCCGGGGAGGACAAGGCAGAGTCCTCGAACCGGGCCGTAAGGGGAGGGTGTAAGGGGAGGCTCGGGGGCACCAGGCCAGCCTGGCCCAAGGGCACCTCTCGCAGAGGAAACAGATCCACAGGTGGGGTGGGGGTGGGGAGGCAGCGCACCGTCTGCGGGTAGGAGAGTGGCCGGAGGCGGTCGTAGTCCTCCTGGCCTGCAGTGTCCCACAGCCCCAGGTTCACCGGCTTGCTGTCCACCATCACGTTGGCTGAATAGTTGTCAAACCTGAGTGGAGCCGACAAGACAGAAGGGTCAGTGTCCAGCCCCAGAGCCCAGGCCCTCCAGTCCAGCCCGCGTTGCTTCATGGCGGAGGCTAAGACCCAGAGAGAGCCTGCAATGGACCAAAGTCAGACATTACTAGGCAACTGAGTTTTCTTTTTTTTCATTACTGATTCACAGCATAAAAAAATCGTAAACGCAGGCAAGCACAAAGAGGAAAACATTGCTCAACCATTTCTGCCCTCACCTGTCCTGTGGAGAGATGACTTTTCGAGGCTGCATAACATTCCCTCCAAGTCTCGATCGGAATAAATTTACCCACCTCCAATGCTCCAGGACACTGAGGCTGGTCACTGGGTATTTACTGAACAAGTGTTTATCCCCTCTCTGAGTTTGGGTCCCCCCAGAAGCAAACCGTGCAATGAGGACGTGATACAAGTGTTTTATTTGGGAAGTGAGCCCAGGTAGCTACAGGAGGGCAGAGGGGAGGAGACCAGGAAGGGACAGTAGCCAGCGCAGGGCAGGCTAGTAAGCTCTTACTGCTTGGGCCTGCTCGGCCCCCTGGGAGGCAGCGTGGACCATCCTTAGTGTGCCCCGCGAGAGGGGGCCGGATGCCGGGGCATTTATCCACCATCTCCATCTTCCACTGACAGAAGGATGTCCTGGGCATCAATTCTCTGGTTTCCCGGCCCCCGCTGAGAGCCTTCAGTCATGGGAGCCTTTGGGAAATGCCACCAGCACACACTGGAGACATGTGAAGGCAGGGTAGAGTGGGGCCCTGACAGCGACGGCCGAAATCTCCTTGCCAGCACCCAGAGAGGTCTCCGGGGCCATCGAATGAGCTTCCGGATTAAAAAAAAAAAATTCAACCCAACAGTATTTCTCACTGCACACATCCCTGAGAGCCAGGTGCTTGTTCCTCACGCCGTGGAAGAGAAAACTGGGATCAGAGGGGTGCAGTGACTTGCCCAAGGCCACACAGCCAATGAATGATGAACTAGGTGAGAAGCCAGTTTCCTCTGATTCTGCTTCCACAGATGCTCCCGCCCTCTGTCCCTGAGGGCTAGGGTCACCAGCCTGTCTCTCCTCATTGAGGTCACCCACACAGGCCCTCATTTCCTGACTGGCCCACTGAGACCTCAGGCTCTCCCAGCTTCTCCTCGTCCTCCTCCACCCATCACACACCAGCCAAGCTATTTCCGGGCAAGGTTCACGCTGCCCACCTCCCTGCACCTGTTCACGCTGTGCCTCAGCCTGGAATGGCCTTCCCACCTCCGAATATCCCCATCCACCCCGGCCTGTGGTCCTCCGCACACTCCAGTCTTTGCTCCTGTCGGGGCCTCTCTCTGGAATACCTCTGCACCCCCTTTTCGCCCTGCCTCCTATTCATGCTGCAAAACCCCATCCAGGCAGTTCCTCCTTCGTGGGGAAACCTCCAGGCCTCCGCCCTCCCTGTGCCTCACCTGGAAGGCACCCTGCATCCCCTCCCTCAGGCAGCTGCTTTGCCTTGACCTTGAGCAGGCATTTAGTGTCTCTGTCCCGCCATGTGTGGGGGGCCTGTGCCCGCTTCGGCTCCACCGTGTTGGGCCTAGCAGTGAGTGCAGGTGGGACAGAATTAAACCACACTTAACTGAAGCCCTTGGGATGTCACCTCCTCCATGAAGCCCTCACAGAACACTGCTCCGTGACAGGTGGCAAAAGCCATAATGCTTCAGAGTAACTCCAAAGACACCTGTCCCGAGAAAGACCCCGCGTACTACAAACCAGAAGTTGGCAGCCTGACGCTTTGAACACACTGCGTATGTCCCTGGTCGCCCCTCAGTTCCTCAGATGGCCCTGCTCCTTCCTGCCGGGAATGCTCCTGCAAGCACCCCTCCCCGACTCCCCTCTCTTCTTCCTCACACTGCCTGCTGACTCTTACTCAGTCCCTCCTCCAGCCCCATCTCGATGTCACCTCCTCAATGTCACTTCCTGAGCCCCAGCCAGGTTGGCTTCTCAACCCAGCAATCTGTAGTGAAGTCAGCACCCCAAAAGGCAGGCACCAAGCCTGGCTTGCTCCTCATTGCACCCTGAGGCCGGCACCGCACTTGGCACATGGCTGGTTCTCGGCACACCTACTCTGGACAGCACCCACACCGCCATAGGATTTCGGGTCCAGGGAGACACTGCTAGGCATCATGGGAAAAGAAGCCTCTATGTTGTCTTTGGCTTTGGCCAGAAACACTCCTTAGGGTGTTGGGACACTCTCTCCTCTAATGTCCAGTCTGAAACTCTAGCGCCAAAAAGCCTCCCAAATTCCTTAAGCCCAAAGCATCTGTGTTCTCTGGACCACCCCCGGGGTCTCAGGGGCTATGGTCATGGGGGAAAAGCTGCATCCTGGGACCTGTAGCAGCCCAAGAACCTACTCTGGGGCCAGGCAGAAGACTATGGGTCGTCACACATTAGCCACGTGACCCACGACCAAAGGACCTCAAGTTACTCCCATCAGACAGATGAGAAAACCAAGGTCCTCAGAGGTTAAGTAACTTTTCCAAGACCAGCCAGCTCATCAGCATAGGAGCTGGGATTCAAGCCCTGCTTCTTCCGTGGCATCCATTAATGAGGGAGTGAGTGGACAAATGAACCTGGGGACAGCCACCCAGAGCTGGGAGGGAGCAGACAGCTCCTACGAAGCCCAGTCCTGGCTGTGTGACTCTGGGTAAGTAACCTAGCTTCTCTGATCTTCACCTTCTTCACTGTGAAAAAAAAAGCCCCATCTTTTGGGGCCATTAGGAGGATTCGAAGAGACAGAGGACATTCAAGCCACTCCATGGGGAGATGCCGAGAAGCTGAGCAGTCTCATATTTGATGTCCCCACACACCCGTCCACCGACCCCTCCCCAGAAGACCAGCTGCCAGAGCCTGAGGGATTCCTGCAGCGACTCGTCAGTGATCTGCAGCTCCCAGGAGCCCCCCTGACTTCAGAGACCCACAGGCAGCCGGGACTGGGGGACCATACGCTGCCACTATGGCCCACCCTCACTCTCTTTTTCCAGGTGAGGAAACTGAGGCTCACGCACAGGAAGGGACTTGCCCAAGATCTCACAGTCAGTTGGCGGCAGAGCCAGGACTAGATCCTGTTACCCAATTCGGGGCCCATGTGGTAAGCACCTCTGCGATTTCGTGGCTGGAGACAGCGGAGCCGGGACGTGGGGGCTGACCCTGAGCTCTGGGGCAGGCAGGTAGCTCACAGGTGTGCCTGCGGCCATTGCAAACCCTTCATACTTAGATCATTTCAGTGGGCCCAGCAAGTGGATTCTACCACTGTCCTCACTTTACACACGAGGAAACTGAAAATCAGAGACTAGGAGTGACCTGCACGAGGTCGCACAGATGGGGCGTTTTCACCTAGAGTGTGTGCGCCTCTGTCTTCACTCCCCGTGACCCCGGAATGGCGTATGGGAGGAAAATGGGGACAGGTGAAAGGGGTGCCGGGTTCCGGCATCTTCTCAGAGCAGGCCGGAGCATGTCCTGCCTGCCGTGTTCTCAGCTCTGTTCTAGAAGCTGGCGGGACAGCAGTGAACTAGACAGACCAGGGCCCTGTCCTCCCAGAGTGTCCATCTTGGCAGGGGAAGTCAGATCAGGATGGGCCATGAAACATCAAGCAGGGTGGGGGGCTGGAGGGGACCTGGATGGAGGGAGGGGACACTTTAGACAAGAGGCCAGGGGGTGTGATACCTGAGCTGGAAACTGAATGATGGGAAGGAGGGCGTGCAGAGGCTTGGGGGAAGCTCGTGCGTCTGGGTGATGGAGGAGGAGAAGCATCATTCAAGGCTTTGAGCGTCAGGATAGAAGGTGGGTTTTAAGGGTGCAGGGGAGCCATGGGAAAGATTTCAGACAGTGTGGCTCCATCTCATGTTCACATTTGGAAGCTCCCTTGGGCTTCCGTTTGAGAAAGGCTACAAGGAAGAGCAATGGGATGGGGGGAACCCCTGTGGCGCAGGCACCCAAGGGCACGGTCTTCCTGCCACGTCTTTCTGTCTCCAACACCCAGCACGAAACCATCCACAGAGCAGGCTTCGGTCTCCCCATCTGTGAAATGGGGCTTGACCCTGAGATGTCCACCCCTAGCGGCCGGCAGCAAGTCGAACTTGGCTCTCTGCTTATCTGATCTCGTGTGGGCAGCACGTGCCATTCTGTCCCAGCGAACCCTGCCATCCCCAGCCTCAGCCTCTCCCGAGATATCCTAGCGGCCCCAACTCCTATCTCCCCGGCTGTCCCCGCCCTCCAATGTCAAGGGCTCAGTGTGACTCGTTTTCTCCTCCCTGTCACAGAGGCTCAGGGATTGTCCGGAGCTCGGCAACTCTATACTGGAAGACGAAGGAGGATGGCAGGCACGACTGGCCACATACTTTGCAGGGTCCGATGTAAATAAAAACGCAGGGCCCTTTGCTCAAAAATTAAGAACTTCAAGACGGAGATAGGAGATTATTAAGCCACAGGTCCTGTGCGGCTGCCTAGATGGCACGCCCGAGAAGCCAGCCCTAGCCTCGACCCAACTCCTCAGAGAGCCCTGGGAAGGTAGACCTTGTCTGATCCATCTGTCTGTCCTTCTGCCAGGTTGTCCAGGACAACCAAGTTCGCCAGGCGACTGGCCGCTGGTCCCACCCCCCTGTCCTGGAGAACACGTCTTCCGTTCCCTGCCGGGAAAGCACCCGGGCAATGAGCTTGGGGTCTCCCAGCCCAGCCCCTGCCTCCTGTAAAAAGGGAAACTGAGGCTCAGAGAGAGGAGGCGACTGGGCTAAGCTAGCTGGTGGGCTCTCCAGCCCAACTAGGACAGGCAGAAGCAGAAACGCAGCAGTGCCAGCATCCTCCTAGTGACAGCGGCCTTCTGTAGGAGCCGCCTTACCTGAGTCCACACCTGCCTCGATGCTCAAGTCTAGAGCCAGCCCTCCCTCAGCACTCGGAGGCGCTGATAAACATTCGATGCTGGATGGTGAATGGGCAGATAAGGGCAGGTGCAAAGAATGGCTTGTATTGGCACCAAGTTACATGGAGAGTGAGGGACCGAGCTGGGGCAGAAGTTGATTTTCCAGGTTTCCTGCCCAGGTTTCTCTGCCCATTCCTGGCCACCTGACTTTCAGCTGCCTAGGCCAGGTCAGTGTCCTGGGGGAAAGTATAAGTAGAGGGAGCTCAAGGCACCAGTGAGGCCCCTTAGTGGCTGTGAGCCTCAGCTTCCCCATGGGTGATCCAGTATCATAATACCCATGAGGATCAAATGAGATCAAACGTGTGTGACATTTCATGCAGGAGCCAGCACACAGCAGGCCCTCAAAAGATAGCAGGCCCTCCCCGCGAAATTCGATTCAGGTCAACTCAAAACACATCGATTGTGTCTAAGATAACATACAGATTACGCTGTGCACAGACGCTGTGCTAAGACAATGGGGTGACCTAAAAAAACTGAATGAGGCTCCCTGCCCTCACAGGCTCATGCTTATAAGGAAGATCAGATAAAGTTCCTCTGGGGAGTGAGAGAACCCTTCAGGCCTGATCAGAACTGGCTTCCTGGAGGACGGGGCACTGGCACTGGGCCTGGAGGTCTTCGGGAAGGAAAGGCAGCCAGATAGAGGAAACAGCTTAAGCAAAGGTCCTGAGGGGGTAATGCCCCAGGAGTGTTTGGTGAACAGAGGGGGCCGTGAAGCTAGAAGGGAAAGTTGAGAGAAGACCACAGACCACATAGAGCCTTGAACGCTGGGCTACGGAGTTGGGACATTATCCTGTGAGTGATGGGGGCCGTTGGGGGCTGGTGGAGGAGGGGCTGGTGCTTCCCTCCTTATCTTTCCCTCCTGAGTCTGACACCCATACTCTCTTACATTCGTGACAACCCTGCCTCCACATTCAACAAGAGGATGGGGCCTCCGATTGGTTTCCAGATGGCATTGCTTTCTCCCCAACACACGCATGTGTCCTGGTGTCTCTGCTCCTCATCATCAAGGCCCTCAATTACTTCCTCCTCCACTCACCCCGCCCCTCCCCTCCACTTCTCTGACCCAGCCCCTCTTCCCACCCTGCTCCTGCTCAGGCCAGCCCTCTCCACCCCCCTCTTCCTCGAGGTCCTCCGGAAGGCCACCTGCTCCCATTCGCCACCACCCGACCCTGACTCAGTCCCTCTCCATTCTGGGAGCCCTCAGCCCTCGCCCTGACAGCTCCTCTTGGCATTGGTGGCTGCCTGCCGGCCATATCATCAGGCAGCTCTGCCAGGCAGACCGGCTGGGGCATCTCCCAGTTGCCTGACCCCCAAATGCCCACACACAGCCAGGCACACAGGAAGTGCCTGAAGAGGGGGTGGGCTTGGTGAAGCGTGTCTCCCCATCCTCCAAGCTCCCCACCCACCCACGAGACTCACACGGTGGGGATGTACTCTCCTGGGAAGGCGTTGGTGGTGTAGCTGATGAGCAGGCAGGTCTTTCCCACAGCTCTGAAAGACAGGAAGTTCCAGAGGACAGAGGTCACGGGCCCTGTCGGAGATGTGGGGAAGACCCAGACCCACCCCTCTGGCCTTGGTTTCCCCCATCTGAGGATCTCCGTATCCCTGTGTCCAAACCCGAGAGCCACAGAGTCACCAGGAGCGCTTGGTAGAGGGCAGACTTCAGGTCCTCCCCAAGGATTCTGACCCAGGGGTGTGGGGTGGGACTGGGCATTTGTGTTTTGAGAAACCTTTCCCAGGCGACACCGACGTGGCACAGAGGGTTAAGGGCAGGGGGTGCCCAGGAGACCTGCTGGACTGGACAACGCTGCAGGGCCCCCGGTGCCTGACCAAGCTGCCATCATCCCTGGGCTTCAGATTCTGGCTCCACCTGCCAGTGTCCCAACCTTGGGCAAGTTAGTTATCTTCCCCATGCCTCGGTTTCCCCATCTAGAAAATGGTTGAGTCCATCCTCAGAGAAAGGGACTGAGTCGTAAATCAGATGAAGCTCATGAAAGAGCTGAGCTCAGTGCTGGGCACAGCATAGCTGCCAGCAGATCTTAGAGCAAACCTGTTCCCCGACCCTTTCCCCTCACCAGAGAGCACAGCGGTTAAGAGCTCGGGGTTCTGCCATCAGAGAGACCTGGGTTCAAATCCCATAATGTCTTGGGCAAATTACTTAACTTCTTTGAGCTTAAGTTTTCCCACCTGTAAATGGTCCTAATATTAGGATTGGTGAGGGAGTGAAACAGAGGGGTGTGACTAAGCCCAGGGCCTGACACACAGATGCTAAGTAAATAGTGGTCATCCCTTATTCATGCTGTCTTCCCCTCAGGCTGCTGGGTTGTGGGGGGTGGGGGTGGGGAGACGGGCACAGGTGAAAACCAAAGGGGCAGCCCTGGGCCCCCCTCCACTGTTTCGTCACTTCCTGTACTGAGCCGGCCTGCCTCTCGTCCCCACCCCGCCCTCCCCAGGCCCTGCCAACAAGGTAACTTTGAATGACTGGAACGTTGCCCTTGGCTTCCGCCCTCCCCTCCTCAGATCTGATACAAAGCAGAAGTGGGCATCCGGGCAGATAACGGCCAGCAGTGCACGGGAATCGGCTGAGGGAGCCTGATCAGCCGGCGCCCCCACCAGTGCAGCAGAGCCAAGTAAGCGGGGACTCCAGGGACCCAGACCAGGAAAGAGCGGAGTCTCTCGAGGCCTCAGGCTGCCCCTCTGTAGGATAGGACAGCTGGATAAGAGGCCTGCCCAGCTGGAATGTGCTGGGTTGTGCCAAGCTGCACCTACGGACACTCCTGGGTTATACCGGGGGGCTAGACCCTGAGACACTGTTGCTCAGAAGCACGAGAGATTGGCATTTGGAACTGTCACCTCACAGACGAGAAAACTGAAGACCACAGGGGGACATGACAACCTGAGGTCACAAATCTGATGGCTGAGAAGGTGCCTCAGCCCAGCCTGTCTCATATTGACCCACGCAATCACCCCATCTCTTCGCCCCCCCTCCTTCCCTGTCTCTCATGCCCGCTGCTTCTGCTCCTCGCCCACATACCCCACACATCCTCCCCAACCAGGCAGTTGAGTGGGGGAAGGATGAGCACACGCTATGTGCGGGACAACCACTGAAATGCCCCAAGTGACCCCACATGAGCCTCTTCACAGACTGCCAAGGGGGGTTCAGAGAGGCACTGAGACTTGCCCAAGGCCAAACAGCAGAATAAGCCAGTGACTACAGCTCAGGTCAGCCTGGGGACAAAGGCCAGATTTTTGGTTCCCCACCCCCCACCTGCATCCACGGAGTTAGAGACTGAGGTCCCATGGGAGACCTGCCCCAGCTCTCAGGGTGCAGACGAGGGGCCCTAGGCACCCCCACCCACAGTCCTGTACCCTCCATCCAGGAAGCTTCCGGGGTGAGGTGGGCAGAGAGCATGAAGCTATCCTCAGCCCACCCCAGGGGCTTCCTCTAAGAGTTCCTGGGAGAAGAAGGGACGGTCTACATGGCCACCTCTCAGGGACCCCTGCAGAGCAGGGGGCTTCCTCAGGGATGCCGGGGGCAGGAGGGTCTCAGTGGTCCCCAGAGGGGGCTGTGAGGAAGTTCAGCCAGGTACCTACCCATCTCCGACCACCACACACTTGATGGCCTGCATCGTGTCCGGGGCCTGGCAGGTGGCAGTGGTGACAGCTCGGGGCGTGGAGTGTTTCTGCGGGCAGGGCACCAGGGGTGCGGAGAACCTAGTGAGGTGCCCAGGCTGAGCGGCAGCAGAGAGCCGGGAGGCAGGAGGAAGCGGAAGGGGAACTTGCCCAAACGGCGGCCCCCACCACGGCTGCTGCAGAAGGCGGAGCGTGCAGTCTAGCGGGGCAGCTCGGGGGCCGGGGGTGGGGAAACTCAGGTGCTGGGCTGGGCCCTGGCCACCCCCATGGCATCCCTGCTCTGGGGCACTAGCTGGAGCCCTAAGGACCCTCTTGGCTGGGGACTCGTGTCTGTGGGCAGGGCCAGAGTTGTTCTCCAAGGACTTGAGGTTTCCAAGAGTTCGGTTCACCTCAGTTCTAAGTAATAAACATTTAATGAGCACTGACTGTGCGCCAGGTACAGTACCGGGTACTGGTGGGTCCAGGATGCAAGGTGTATATCCTTCCCTGGGGAAGACACAAACTCATCACGGTTGTTCATAAAACAAGACAGGAAGTGATAGGGTCACAGGGAATCTACAGGGAGGGGACCTCCAAGTTACACGGACCTCCAAGTTACACAGGCACTCAGGGTGAGGGGGTTGCATGGGCAAGATACAGAGACTCCCACAAACGGGGTACTGTGGGAACCCCCAAGCTGTGAAAGAATGGGGGAGCGTGATGAGGCAAGAAGGGGGGTGAGGGCCAGCTGATAGAGAAGGGGAAATAGAAGGGAAATGACAGGCAGCGCCCCATGCCAGCCAGGCCCTGTGCCGGAGGCACCCTCTAGGCCCAGACACCCTGGAACTAGGAACTGTGGCCCATTTTAAAGATGCAGAAACAGAGGCTTTGAGAAATCAGGTGACTCCAAACACTCCTGGCACCCCAGCTGCTTTCTGGGGGACAAAGGCTGAGTTCTGTGGTTCTCAGAGAGAGCGCTCCCCTTGAGCCAGGGCAGACTCGGTCTGAGCAGCGCATCTCCCCACTGGGCTCTGAGTTCACCTAGTCCTCATTCACTGTTCATCGCCACTGCTCCCCATACACAGCACCTTTCCAGCTCCAGGAGTGGGGAGGTGCTGGGCAGAGACACTGGTCACCCACCCTGGACTCACTCAGGACAAACCCAAAAACCACAGGAGAGTGTGGAGCTCGGGGTCTACTGGGCGACCGGCATCCCACCCTCTCCCCGCCCTGGGAACAGAGCCTAGGATTCCCCCAGGCACCTGGAGGCTGACTCCTTCCAGAACTGTCTACACAGACTCCAGGGTTGGTACTAATGGCTTTTGCTGACAAGGAAACACAGCCTCCCCAGGGCCTGCTCCCACGCTTGGCCAGTCGGTTATCAAAACCAGCCAATGAACTTCGAGGTCTTTGCTCTGTGCTTTGCACAGGATGAGCTGAGGTGGTTCAAAGCGCTTCAAGGCGCCCAGCCTGGGTCAGGAAGGCCCAGTGCTCCCTCCACAACCTCCCACCCCCATCCCCCCGCACCCCCCTTGACACAGTGTCCCCTCCCCGTCATGACCCAGCCCGGGCTTCCTCCCTCCCCGGCCGCCTGAGGACTTTATTCTGGGTACTCCCCGACAGCCACATTCTTTTCCCAACCACTGCAGGACAAACTCTGTGTTAATGTAAAAAAACAAAAACAAAAACAAAAAACCGAAAAACAGTGTGCTAAATGCAATGTAGTATCCTGGATTGGATCCTGGAGCAGAACATTAGTGGAAGAAGCAGTAAAATCCAAAACAAATCAAAATTTAGTTAACAGTATGGTACCAAAGTGAATTTCTTAATTTTGACAAATCCACCAGGGGTATGTAAATAATATTAACCTAAGGGGAAACTGGATGGAAAATATACATGAATTCTCTTACTATCTTTGCAACTTCTCTATAAATCTAAAGTTATTCCAAAATAAAATGTCTATTTATTTAAAAAAAAAAAAAAAAAGAAGTAGAAGAAGAAGGAAAAAAGATTCACCTCTTTGGGAAGTCACAGCCGATGAGTATGGCCACATGACTTGGAAACAGGAATATGTTTTATCTCCCGTCGGCCCTCAGGGTGGGGCTCCCTTATACAGTACTCAACCTGCCCAAACGCACAGGGCCACAGCAACCCTAAAGCTGCACCTGTCCTCCATGCCGACAAAGCCACTTCTTCGGGACAGCCCAGGCAAAATCGTTTCCCTGGTTTAGGGCCGCCTGACTCCCTCCTTCATTCTGCATGCATCAATTAAACACCGCTTGAATACCTAGCTCTGGGCTTGGTACTGTAGTGGATACAAAATCTGGATGAATAGAAAAGTGTACAATTCCTTTCATTTCGACAGATACACGCACCCAGGAAACCTCGACCACAACCAAGATGCAGAGCGTCACAGAACATTTCCATCACCATGGAAAGCTTCCTTGCGCCCCTGTGCAGTCCATTTCCCCCCAGCCCCACCACACGCCAAGCTCTGACTTACCGTTGCTATAGGTTACTTTGCATTTTCTAGAATTTGACATAAATGGAATTGCACAATACGAGGCCTCCCGCGCATGGCTTCTTTCACTTAGTGTGTATTTGAGAGTCATCGAGGTGGTCGCATGTGCCGGATCCATCCCTCTCGTTAGAGAGCAGAGTTCCATCCAGAAGATGTGTCACAGCTTGGTTATTCATTCGGTCCTGTCCACTTCTAACCGCACTTTGCAAACTCACTGAGTCACAGAACCATGGGGCCTCTGGGCATGCAGAGAGGGACACGTAAAGGCCATCTTTAGCCAACCTCGCCCTTGCACCACTGGAATCCAATGCTTGGTTCACTGCCCACGCTGCAGCTGCCCAGCCCCTGCTCACATACTTCCAATGACAGGGAACTCATTCCCTTAGGAGACAATTTCTTCCAACCTTGGGAAACAAGCCTGTTAGAAAACCTTTCTTCATTTCAGCTCAAATTCAGTTCCTTAGATTGTCCCCTCAAAGATCCTAGTTTTGTCCTAGGGCCACTCAGTTCTCTCCTCCCTACTCCAGGCCCTAGGATTCAGGAGGCAAAACATCCACCCAGCAATGTACTGATAAATGTTTAATTTATACGTCTGGGTTAGTGATTTTTGCTGGGGTATAATATTCCATGATACGAATATATCAAAGTATATTTCTTTAATCTCCGATTAATGGATGTGTAGGAGGCTTAACATGTTTGCTTCACAAACAATTCCGCTATGAATATTTGTGGCCTCCTGGAGCTGGTGTTTGAGTTTTTTCCAGAAAGGGGATGGCAGAGCTGTAGGCACATGCATCTTTCACCTCAACAGACAGTGAGAAATCATTCTGCATCCTCCTCCTGGTCCACACCCTCACCCACAGTTGGTCTTGGAAGTCTTTATATTTTCACCAAGTTCGTAAGTGTGAACTGGCATCCCATTTTGGTTTTAATTTACTTGAACCAATTTCTGGTGATGCTAAGCATCTTTATTGAACATTTGGGTTTCCTGTTCCATAAAATGTCTTTTCATATCTCTTGTCCATTTCTCTATTCTTTTATGTTTATTTGGGAAAGTTCTTTGTATATTCTGATTTCTAAACTCAAATTGCTATATGCACTGCAAATTTTTTTTCCAGTCTTTAGGATGTCTTTTGATCAGCTGTGACTTTTAAGAAACAGAACTTTTATTTAAATGTAGTCCTGTTTACATTTCTTCCCTAATGACTTGTGCTTTTAGAGTGAATCTTGCTTAAGAAGCCCTTGCCTACTCTCAATTTCATAAAGATGTTCTCCTCCATTTTTCTCTAAAGCTGTGAAAGTTTTGCTTTTCATATTCAGGTTTTAACATACTTGGCATGGATTTTAAGTTGTGGTGAGTTATGAACTTCTTCAGGTTCTGTGAGATATGGATTTAATTTCATCGTCTCCATAACCAGATGCTGTGGCACCATTTATGGAGGCATTCCGCCTGCCTCTTCGCCAGTGAGCTGCCCCCATCTGTCACATGGCCAGTGTCTGTCTTCGTGTGTCTATTCCTAGCTTCTCTATTGGTCTATTTGTCCTCTCTGGGGCCAGTACAATACTGCCTTAATTACCAAAATTCTGTGTCAGGGCTTTATATCCGGCAGGGCAAATTCTCCCCTCTTGAATGTTTTCAAAATTCTTATAGTTATTGCTGACCATTTGTTCTTTCATATAAATTTTGGAATAAGCTTGTCAAGTCCCAAGAGAAACTATGCCAGGATTCTGATTAGAATTCTGTTCCGTTTATAGAGGAATCTGAGGAGCACTGACATCTTGGTAAATTCAGTCTTCCTATCCATTAACGTGTTCTATTTCTTCTTTATGTCTTTCAATAAAGTTTTATAATTTCCCCTGAGGAAGGTTGTGCATATTTTTTTTCATTAGATTTATTGCATATTACATTCGGTGTCACTATAACAAACATTTTTTTAAATTGCATTTTCTGTTTGTTGCTTACATGTAGGAAAAATGTCAAATTTTGTACATGGGACTTTTATATATGGCAACCTGAGTAGGAATTCTTATAATTTATCTAGAGATTTTGCTACTAACAAGTCTTTGTAGACAGTCTTAGCATTTGTAGAAAACGACAGTTTTATTTCTTCCTTCTTGATTTTTATAACTTTAATTCTTCGGGTCATCTGGAGCCTTTACTGCCCGTTGAATAGAATCAGTGATGGCGGGCATCTCTGTCTTATTTCCGAATTTAAAAAGAGTGTTTCTGTGATTCACTATTGAAGATGATGTAGGCGGATATTATCATCAGTTAAAAAAATTTCCCCACTATTCTTAGTGACAACTGTTTTGTTGTTATCATAAGTGTTGAGTATTATTGATTTTTTTCCTGTATCTATAGAGATGTTGTGAATGACATTAATACATTTTCTAATGTTCAATGACCCATGCACTCCTGCAGAAACCTAACTTCGTCACTTTGGGCAATGCTGCTGACTGTCCCTCAGTAGACATTCTCAGCTTCTTTTAACAACAGAGCTCCAAGATTGTAGCCGGCCAGCTCACCCAGCTGGAGACCACATTTCTCGGTCTCTCTTGCCACAAGGTGTGGCCCCATGATTAAGTTTGGGGGAAAAGGGACAAATGGAAATGATGTGTGCCACTTCTCAGTCATCATCGCCCAGAAAGCTAAACCAT